AACATGGGTGAATATATTCAACCCAATAAAAAGCATAAAAAGATTTAAGATGTAGAAATATCAGCATTGGTGTTAAAAGCTTCTGCTAAGGAAAACGGAACTGTAAGATATAAGCATTAAAATGTATGCGTTGTTTGCATTTTGTACTTGAATTAAACACTTTTTAGACCTTATGTACTTTAATGGAAATCATTATAGTAAACTGGGTGTGGAAATGACTAAAGATAATATCTGAAATAACGATATGCAGAATATACTGAAAAATCTGATAAAGAAAACATTAGACAAATAGGATAATGATGCAATTTCCAGTCATACGGAAAGATGCAAAAACTATAATGATCGATGTGAATTAAATTATATGATAGACATATAATACCTATATGTATACATGCATATGCTGCATGGATAGATAAATATATGTATGTGTGATATATATTTTTGTGTGTATTTGTTTCCAAGTATACACCAGTATGTATGTTCACACCAGTATATATGTATACACCAGTATGTATGTTCATAAGTGAGAACAGGCGAACACATTATTCATAGTATTAGATTATTGAATAACTTTAGTGTAGTTAGTAACGGTTGTAGAATAAATCGTTCAATATGAAATGCAATAGAATTAATGTTATTATTAATGTTGCTATCATTGCTGCTGGGGTTTTGTTATCATTATTATTCTCTTACAATATAACAAAGATTATGATAGTAGTAATCATTATCTTCATCATTTTCATTACTACTACTATTGCTATCCTCGTTATGGTTACTATCATCATTATTATTATCATTATTATTACATTATCATTATCAATAATATATCTAATAATACTTTATCATTATCGTTATTGGCATCATCACTGTCATTACGAATATTACTGTTGAGTAGCAGCAGTAGCAGTAAGTATTATGATGATAATATAGTTCCTGTTTTATGTAGTTGTTGTTAGTCGTATTATCATTATATTATCATTAAAACGATATTCGTTATTATTGTTATTCCTATTCATATCACAACTGTTATGATTATTATTATCGCAGTATCAATGTCATTATTATTATAATCACGGTGTCAGTGTATCATCATTTTTATCATTATTGCAATTATCTTCATTTTCGACAATACTCGTCGTTACAAACATGATGACAAAGCTCATTAATGATTTTCAAAAGAAATATTCGGTCCTGTTTATTCTTCGCCTTTAAAAGAAGGTCGGTGGGTTATAGCTCTCCAATCAGTGAGCAAAATCTTCTGTGATCATAAAGATATTAGCGAAGTTAATCATCATCATCACCCTCATCGTCGGTGTTATCATCACCGATATTTTCTCCAACAATTAACAAAAATAACAAAACAAATTCATTACTATCCACATTAACTATTATCAAAATCAGTTATACTAACAGCGATAATATCAACAACCACAGCAACCTACAAACTCACCCATAACTTAACAACATTGACGTAAAACGAATATAAAGACCACGCTGATTTACAACCGAATGATCTGAGAACACCAAACGGCTCACTTCACACATCGTGCCTTCAGGGAGATAACATTCCATGGCGGTTATAAAACTACTACGAAAGCGTTTCTTCTTACAGCTAATTGTAGCCAACGATGTTACAGAGGATCTGAGCTGAGGGAGACTGGCTTTCATAAAGACTGATTCAAATGGGTTTTTCTGCGATTTTGAATTCCGTTGAAGCTCGAATTAACTCCGTCTTTTTCTCTGAATGATAGATGGCAAGATGAAGAAAAGGGATAGAGGATGACTGAATGAATGAGTGAATGATATGAAGAGAGAGATGAAAAGATTGATAGAAGAGAGAGATGAAAAGATTGATAGAAGAGATGAGGGTCGAGTCGACTTTTTAACTTTAATGAGTTAAAAGGTTTATTGAGAGAAGCAGGGACATCTTAAAAGCATGAATTAAGATTGGTTATCTTCATTCTAAGAAAGAAAGAGAGGGAAGAGCAAAAATAAGAAAAAGGATAAGCCGGATATGAGAAGCTGAACTGGGGTGTATCACCACAGGGGCACTTCTTAGTACAGTGGGAGTTATTCGCGAATCGCTGACAACTAACCCCTAATATATTGTAAAAACGGAGAGCATGGGAACCTACCCGTGCTGTCTCTGGAAGAAACGAATAAGAGGGAAAGGAAAAGAGAGTGAAAAAGAATAGATAAAAAGAGGGAGTGAGACGAGGAAAATTAAGAGTGAATGGGGAGAGAGAGAGAGAGAGAGAGAGAGAGAGAGAGAGAGAGAGAGAGAGAGAGAGAGAGAGAGAGAGAGAGAGAGAGAGAGAGAGAGAGAGACAGAGACAGACAGACAGACAGACAGACAGACAGACAGGCAGACAGACAGAGACAGACAGACAGACACAGAGAAAGAGACAGAGACAGACAGACAAACAGAAAGACAGATAGATAGACAGAGACAAACAAAGATAGATAGATAGATAGAGAGAGAGGCGGGTGAAAAACGGAG